AGTAACCTCGAAAAAGGAAATTGCTCACTTTTTCGACGATGAAAATTGATTCTCATTTCACAACAGTTTGAAGGTTTCTGCATCTAAAATTTTGGCCGGAAAAGACAATTTCAAGCACTAAAAGTAATAGTGATACTGTACTGTACATCACGTCTCGAATTTGAATATCTGCCATCCGAGCTGTCTTTCAAGCAAAACTTTATTGAGCACATTGTATGTAAAATTCTTGGTCCTCGGAAAATTTAATAAAACTTTGCTGGTCCGCAGAAAATTGTTTGGAAATTTGCCGGTCCACAAAATCTTTTTTGGGAATTTGCCAGACCGGCGCCGGTCCGCCAAAGTTTTTGCCGGTCCGCGGGAAATTTCTCCAGGCTAATGAAATTTCCAAAAGTAGCAACGAAGGACGTTACAGCTGTCATCTTTATTTCAAAATTTCGCAAGAAAATGGCAGTTGAAATTCTCATGAAAAATATATCTTGGCTTTTCTCTCATAATACTTGAGACATATTTTTACCGGATTTCAAAAATTATTTTAATTTTTTAGTCTGAAAAACCTTTCTTCAACCCCACCTTTGTATATCTTGAAGACATTCCACTATAGCTGCTTCAATGGTTCTTGACTTAATTTATGCACAAAAAAAAAACAGAGTCTTTTTGAATAACTGCCATTCGAGCTGTCTTTCAAGCAAAACTGTATTGAGCATATTGTATGTAAATTTCTTGGTCCTCAGAAAATTTCATGAAACTTTGCTGGTCCGCAGAAAATTGTTTGGAAATTTGCCGGTCCGCAAAATATTTTTTTGGGAATTTGCCAGTCCGTGAGACCAAAAAGGTCGGGGAACACTGCTCTAGATGTTCTCATGTCATCCTTGGAAATTCAGTTATTCTTACGCAAGAAAAATCGTATAGCACCTAATGGACGTGTTTGACAATAACAGGTTATATTTCTGATATAAAGCAAGGCATCTCAACTTCCTGCTCATCCAGATATATTCTACAAATTATAACGAATTTTTTTTTTTTAGACAGACCTTGTGTCTGATTTTTTGGCACTTGGACTACTGTTTTCATAATTCCGATGGATTCTGGAGTTGGCTTGAATGCGTCGAAGTTTTCAAAGATATTTATGAATAAATCTTTTTCGGATGTGATTCGGGGAAAAAAATAAATGGCCTTAGAATTGGGCGGGAACGAGGTCCTGTTTGGTTTGAAGGAGACCTCTTTCTTACCAGAGCACTTATTATTTTGCGATCGCGGATTTTAAGTACAGGTGCTGCTGAGGTGATTTAGTCGCAACAGATGTGCCAGATTTCGAAACTATATTGACAGGTGTTCCATGTGAACAGAAGATGAAAACCTCGTTGACATTGAATGCTAATTAGCATAAAGATCAGCATATGGATCGTTCAAAAACGGTCTGCGTCTGTTCTACGAGGAATATACTACGCATAGATTTCAAAAATGTATTTTTCTTTTTTTTCAGGAGACCCGGGTCTACTGAAATACCTTAACCGAGTTACGAAAAATATAGAGGCCTCTATATTTTCCGTAACTCTGCATCCTAATTTTTTTTTTACATTTATCAAAGAAATGGCGTAACATCTGGTACAAAAAAGTTAGAATAATTTATTGGCCAATTTACTGGATTTCTGTGGCACATATAAAAATGGTAGTTCAAAATCTTTGAACTGCTTGACTTGAACTACACCAAGGACTAATTTTAGAACAGTTCAGCAATTCCGTTGAACAAATGTGGCATATAAGATGCTCATATTCAAAATAAAAAAATAGTGCGATAATTTCTTCAAGTATTGAAAATAATTGCCCCTGGAATTTTTTCCTTACAAAAATTATTTCTTCATAAGTGAATATTTTGTTCATAATACAGTATGGAGGAAAAAAAAGGTTTCATCCAGATATAAGACTGACATCTGTTCCACCAGGTCCAAAGCTGAAAGAATATACTGTACTGTACAGGTAAGCTTAAATGACCAGCAGCCGATAATTTGATCTTCATGATTATTAAGTTAAATTGAAAGCAGAGGGGGGATTCAAATCTCTCCAAAAATGGGATTATATCCTTCAAAATTTACTAAGTCCCACAGACTAGTTGACAGTTATGAGCTGACATCAGCATCCAAACGGTAATGGTTTGACTGTAGGATGATACTGTGGGTTATGAGTACTAAGTACCTATTAAAACCTTTTTTGCATCCTTCAGAATTTATGAGCCAAATGAGCTTCGCAGTGCGCCGGTTTGTACCGTCTATTGCTGCTTTCCACCTCACAAGTACTTCTTGCTTTCTGCAATGTGATGCTAGGAACGGCACCTTGAAGCTCAGTTAAAAACTATATCTGTTGAGCTATTTTTAAATTGTGAAAGATGTCGCTGCTGAACATCAAACCAAACCGAAGCCGAGATTGTGTTGTATCGTCCTTCAGTGCACCTGCACACGCGTGCTGATGCCATGAATGATCTTGAGTTCTGCGCAATTGTTGATGATATCACTGGGCATCGAGGAACAGGAATTTGCGGTTTTCAATGTCGACGACTCTGTGACAGAACGAAAATGCTGCTACAGTACGCAGTATTACCGTTAAAAAAATTAATACAATACAGTATACCTCGCAGGCGCCGCATGTGACGAGTGAACTCCATCCGTGTTTTTGAACCATCCTGGCCTCAATCCCGCTTGAAGCCTGGCGTCGGCTGGGCGGGCGAGTTAGTTGTGTTCGTGCTCTGCAGTGTCTGTGGGAGAAAGAAAAACGAAATTTAGCTCTCCTTTGTGATAAGGATGCGTTCGTTCTACAATGAGTTCAATGACGGTGCTTTGAAACTGCCTGTGGATGATTCATCTACTGTAGCCATGCTTCCAACAAATCATCCTCTCGCTTCGGCGTATACCCATGACTCCCTTGAGAGGTTCGGATTCAACGCAATAATTGACTGGTTTACTGTATAGCTTTAGTGATGTGCTTCGCCTTTAGAAGCTCCTATATAAAAATGTACAATACAATATTATCTTTTGTTCATGTGTCTTATGAGTTTATCTCATCCAGTTGAAATGTGTTCTCTTATTCAGTTCACAAGCGCGGTACTCTCATCCAGTTCGTATTGCTGCGTCTTAATAGAGTCAGTGGTCGCGTTCTTTTGTCAACGCTCCAATAAAAAATATTTTCTTTGCTTCATTTTGCGATTGTCGACTCTGCATGGTTTGGTGCATGGCACCCGCAATCCGAAATAAAAAAAAATGAAAACAATAAAAAAAGTTTTATTTCTGAACTTGTACACAGGGGTTCATTTGCCCAATTATGTCTTTCACTTCCTTTAAAAAAACATAAATTTATGTTTTTATTGCTTTTGTCCTTTTTTTTTTACAAAAATAAGGGCCAACAGGCCACAGAAAATTCTACTTACGGTGGTTTGAGGAGAAGAGCTTTAGACCTAGGGAACTTTTTAATCTATTGTTTCTAAAGGGATTCAGATGGGAACTTGAAGAAAATTCGACTTAGGGGAGTATTCGACTTGAGGAGGTTCAAGTTATCCAGGTTTACCGGTAATAATCATTGCTGCACACACTTGGCAACACTTCTTTTTCTAAAATTTAATGCCAGCCCGAATTTGCGTACAGAAAGTCTGGCAAAATGAATTTCTTGCACGGTAGTTGTGCAATTATTTGGGGTGCCAACGATTTTTTACTCATACGAAATTTGACAATATTTTATTTGTATTCGTTTGTCATTGTCGACTCTGATGGCTCTTGCTCATCATAATTTTCGCTGCAATGATATTTGGAAAATATTAAAAAAACACACCTTGAATATGAAGCGCGTCTCGCAAAATGAATTTTTAGCACAAGATTTCCGCGCGGATTGCGGGTGCCATATAGTGACAAAGATGTTTTTGTCTAAGACATATAGTCCCATTTTGATGGATGATGGCCGAGGTAAATTGATTGTCCTTCAAAAAATCGGAGGTGCTTTCAAAGTATGGTTGCTAGCATGATTTTCGGATCATTTTGAAGCCTGTTCGGTTATTTCTTTTCACGTTAAGCTTATTTTTTTTCCGAGTTTCTTTTTCTTTCCGATACATAAATCGTGATAATTTCCTGTGTTGAATCTTTTCCTAATTTAGTATTTGATGCAATAATTCATGACAGGGAGATTGTCGATAAATCTTACAATAATGGGCTTCGAAGTTTTTCATCTCGAAGGGATTTCTGGAAGTGTATTATACTGTACTGTATATAGAACCGATCAAGGATCAACCCTGTTTCTCCATCAACAGAATCATCAAAAAAACGGACATCATGTTAAGTTCTTGCTTTTTATGATGATGCAGCGACCACGATATTGCGTTACTGAGATCAATTTACGCTGTGTATTTATATTTCAGAAACTTCTTTGCTTCATTTTGAATTTTAAAAAAATATTTCGAACATGGGACTGCGATTGTATTATTTACCGCACAGCCCACCGTGCAGGGCAGTGAAGCTTCTTGCGGCGGAGCTGGGACTCGATTTGGAAATCAAACCAGTGAACCTATGGGCTGGGGATCATCTGAAAGATGAGTTTTTGGCTGTGAGTGACCAAAAGTATTCCGAGTGAATTTTTGGAGGCTTCATTACGTTCTCATCGTATCTTTCCGATACATAAATCGTGATAATTTCCTGTGTTGAATCTTTTCCTAATTTAGTATTTGATGCAATAATTCATGACAGGGAGATTGTCGATAAATCTTACAATAATGGGCTTCGAAGTTTTTCAGTCGAAGGGATTTCTGGAAGTGTATTATACTGTACTGTATATAGAACCGATCAATGATCAACCCTGTTTCTCCATCAACAGAATCATCAAAAAAACGGACATCATGTTAAGTTCTTGCTTTTTATGATGATGCAACGACCACGATATTGCGTTACTGAGATCAATTTACGCTGTGTATTAATATTTCAGAAACTTCTTTGCTTCATTTTGAATTTTAAAAAAATATTTCGAACATGGGACTGCGATTGTATTATTTACCGCACAGCCCACCGTGCAGGGCAGTGAAGCTCCTTGCGGCGGAGCTCGGACTCGATTTGGAAATCAAACCAGTGAACCTATGGGCTGGGGATCATCTGAAAGATGAGTTTTTGGCTGTGAGTGACCAAAAGTATTCCGAGTGAATTTTTGGAGGCTTCATTACGTTCTCATCGTAGGACTCGATTTGGAAATCAAACCAGTGAACCTATGGGCTGGGGATCATCTGAAAGATGAGTTTTTGGCTGTGAGTGACCAAAAGTATTCCGAGTGAATTTTTGGAGGCTTCATTACGTTCTCATCGTTCACTTTCTGTATAGTTGAATCCGACGCACACAGTCCCGACGCTGGATGATAACGGATTCGTGATATGGGATAGGTGAGTGCACCCCACCTTCGCCTCTGTTTTGAATTATTTGATTTCATTTTGTAGTTCTTCCCTTTTATAGCCATGCTATTCTGCAGTATCTGATGAACAAATATGGGAAAGACAGTAGCGACTTGTATCCACAAGACCCGGAAAAGCGAGCTGTGATTGACAATCGCTTATGTTTCGACCTGGGAACTTTGAATGCCAACATCCGTGATTATTACGTGAGTTTCGTTTTCACCCAAATAAGTTAAAGCGGTATGAATTCGTAATTACAGTATTAAAAAATGGGGCATATACTTTTGAATCGAGAGATAAACGAGTGCTGTGTATCGGAAGCAAAATAAAGATGGACTCTCTATGCAAAAATCTTGTGGACAACGATTTTGTTTGCGTTAATTTAATTTTTAAGTTTTACGTATGCTGTACAATGGTCTCTTCCAATTGTTATGGAGGTTCTCAGCAGCGAAATCCGACAAGGGACCAGAAAATCGCTGTTTCAAGCAGATAAAATATGCGTTTTCGCCGAAAATTGTTTGGTAAATTAGTTGAAATCATGCCAATTTTCGAAGCAAGAGTAAATTTTTAATTGGAATTGAGAAACCTTGAGAAACATTGTAATTTGAATTGCTTTTCCATTTCCTTCGTCTCCAGAACAGTAGTTTGAAGGCCCCAAGTAAGAAATTTGATCTCTAAGGGTTTTTGGGGTTATACTACTGTATTATTAAGGTTATGAACGAGCAACTCCAGATCTTAAGAGTTAAAGCCATAGCAAATCCCTTAAGTCTGTCCTCGATTCGCTCTTAAACTGTTTTATTTCTCCTAAAAAAGTAGTTGTACCTCAAGTCACAGCCCTTCACGTTGATTACAGTATATTATGAGAAAGGGTTTTTAGTTCAAAGCTGGCTTCATTTGTTTGCGGTTAGTATCTCAAGTCTAACTTTTAATTATGCCTCTTTTTCAATCTCATGAGTCAAGATTTTGGATTTTTTTCAATGAGAAAACGTCCGGAAATCCTTCATCTCATGACAAGAATTACGCGTCCAAATAAGAGATATAAGATATTCCCGTAGGACAAATCCGCTTTCATTTAAAATCAAGCATTCCTGGAAGATGAACATTCATTACCGGACATAAGCCAGGTGTTTTTGTATTTATTATTTTCAGGTCCCAGTTCTGCGTCATGGTGCGACTCATTTCTCCGCCTCGCAAAGAGACAAAATGCAAGAAGTTTTTGGTTGGCTGGATGGACTTATTGAGAGATCCGGGGGTTGGACTGCTGGACCCCATTTTTGTGACCGACTAATGTCGTAGTAACGGTGGTACAGGTTACAAAACCACTCTAACAAAAAAATCATCGTACCTAAAAGTTTAAAGACCGTTTTAAAAGACCCTCTAACTCTACTCGGATATGGATTGCAGTGAAATCTTGTTACAACAAATAGCGTTACAACAAATTTTTCAGTATAGTAAACTTTTTTCCAAAAACTGGGAGAAATCTTATAGGGTACATGTTATAAAAATATCATTACAACAAACTTGCCAATTCCAGTACAACAAACTTATTGGGGGGGGGGGGGAGCACAGTTAGATGACAAATATTAACCCAGCAAAACTCAGGTTAAATGGTTTTGTATGCTTGAGAACCCCTCTATACTATAATTATGTAACAATTTAGGCAATTTTGGAATGTCAATCCATACAAATCTTTGCAGGAATTGCGTAGAAACATTTTCAAGTCAAGAAATGTGCTGGTGTCCACCTGTACTTGGAGCAAATGTTTTTATTGAAAATTAAATCTCTTTTTGAAGATCTCATTTTTTAAACACTGAAGAACATCTGAAAAGGCCAAAAAGGAAGATATTGAATATATGCTGGTATAATTTGAAGAAAATCTTCCCATCAGTCAATAATTTTCAAAATTGTTTAAAACACATGACAGTATTTGTTATAACAAACTTTTTCTCAAGTCCCCAAAAGTTTGTTGTAATGTACAGTAATTTGGGTCTCAGCATTGTAAAAATGATGATCTGACAATCCACAATTTTATATTTTACATCAGAAAAAAGTAAAAGAAAAATTTAACTGACAAAAAAATTCTGACAACCCCTGCGGTTTTTTTTTTACTGATGCTTCCTTTTTTTCTACTTTCCTCCCAAGAAAATGCATGGTCCTCATAAGTTCGATTTGACGAAATACAAACACATCACCGAGTGGATGAACAAATGCCGTGCAGAGATGAAGGATTACGACGAGATTATCGAGACTGGCGCCCAGCTGTGGTTCGACGACTTGTTCGCCAAGATTACTGAAGGCAAAGAGATCAAATGAAATGGGGGTTTTAAACCGACTTCACGTTCGCGAATCACTTTTCGAAAGATTATACCGGGAAAATATTTACCCAGCTCTGGTTCGACGACTTGTTCGCCAAGATTACTGAAGGCAAAGAGATCAAATGAAATGGGGGTTTTAAACCGACTTCACGTTCGCGAATCACTTTTCGAAAGATTATACCGGGAAAATATTTATATTGAGTAATTTCGTTTGCTTTTTATTGCCTTCTGAACGCTGATCACAGATCAGGCGTTAATAAACGAGAGTTGTAGCCGGAAAATCACTTTATGCTCCATTCACAGCTGCAGACGGTCAAGGTTGAAGTAATTTGTTGACCTTATGGTGTTGCATGAAAGCAATCAAGTATAGAGATGTTGGATTATTTCTCTTTTGAGTGGAAAAATACAATTAATTACCCCTTGCGTCTTATAGCGGTTGCTCCTCCTCCTGGATTTGATTGAGGAGTGACTTCAGGTCTAATAAGATGGCATCTGTATAATACTGTATTTAGTCAAGTATCCCACACTTTTTTCTCAAAACTGACTGGGGGAAAAAAGGGTGTGAGTCATACACAGGGATACAAAGTTTCAACAACAAAATTTGGAAGTTTATAGGTGTTCATCACACTTGAATATAATGGAAGATTTTTGACAGGAAATTTTCCTGACGAAAACGATTAAAAATTAATTGAATTAAGCTTGAAATCCTGTTCAAATTAAAATCCTGCTGTCTTTTATTTTGGAAATATTTTAGTTTTTCAGTTAATTGAAAATGAGGTGTGTGTGTCTTACTTGGATTTTATCATCATTTCAGGAAGATTAAGTTTGGTTGCATGTCTCACTGCTGGATTTGGGGCACAGTACTTGAGCAAATAAGGTATCTGTTGATAACAGAGATGTGGCAGCATTTTTTCTTGGTGACAAAACTTAAATGTATGAAAGATAATCTTTTATGAGTTTCTCCCAAAAGATAATGCAGGATATTGACCAATTTTATTTTTCAAATTTGGTACAAAATCTGTGATGGGGTCTGCTGCATTGAAACTTGGCGCTTCATCAGCAAAAGTCTTTTGTTTGCTTACCAATTGTAGGGATGGCAGAGGAGCTAGTCCTGTACACTAGCTCAGCACTACAGATGGACTCTCTCTCTTCAACAAAATTCAAGGGACCATAGAAATTTTGGTGGAGTATTTATTAGTAGAGAACCATGCGCAGAAAAGATGCATTATACAGAGAAAGCCATTGCAGGGAGAGTCTACAGTACAGTATAGCACTCTACACTCTCTAAGCCTATACTGTAGTTGATTTACGTTCGATCAGATGTCGCTCTTGCTTACTCAGTACAATGAACCCGAGAGCAACGTGGAAAAGATGGAGAAGTCGCCACTCCGGTCGGAACCCTGAGGCTCTCTGAGACTCGTTGATTGACTTCACTTATCGTCGTTCGCAATGGAATGCTGAAACAATATGTAGAATTCAAATTATGATTCTGGGAATTTCCGCGCATATTCCTGTGCGAAATGTACGCAGTTTCCCGGAAATTCGGCAAGAATACACTTCCTGGGCAGCAATTCCATGGATACAATTCACATAAAAACGTAATAAGAAACTCGAGATTCTTTGCTGAGCACCACGAGTGCTGTTTTACGTGCATAGGGATGTGTTACAGTTGTTACACCGCTAGATGATTAATACGTGACCAATATATACACAATACATCGAACAACATAAAGACCCGAAGTGAAAAATCAAAACAACGGAATGACGAATATACCGAAAGAGCTGCAATTCTATGATACGCTTTGAAAAAAATTAATTATTTCACTCGTTTCAATAATTTTCCTTTTTTGAATTTCCGGATAATGCGAGTGTTTCTTACATGAATGAATCTACTGTATCTCATCGACTTTATTTTTTTTATGGAAAATTTTTTTTTGTCTGGTCATCAAATTTCCTTTACCTGTACTTCTTTAGCCAAATGAACAGAGATTCAATATCCAGTTGGAAAATTGGATTTTTTAGCCCGATTTAATCATGCATGAAATTCAGCATGCTTGATGGCTTTTATTTTCTAGGTCTCTATATTCTTTTACCAGCAAACGTCTTGTGAATAAACTCAATCAGGGTTTCGAAACCAGCAGGCTCGTCTCATGCCCGCTGGAATCCTGGCGCCGGGGTTTGGGTGCAGTTCTGGTTCCCGTGCCTTTCTGGTGGACTCAAGATGATTTTTTTTTTTACTTTTTCCAAATCTTCTTGGTAATGTTTGTTTATTCGTAGTGACAGTGTTTTTGAAATTAAATTTAACAAGTCTTCCAGCATCAGCCAGACTTTTCATTTCTCTATAATAACGTAATCGGTGTAAGAGTTGATCTCAAAATATCTTGTCAAGATTATGTAGTTCTAAATCGTGTAAATGTGAATGTGTTGTTGTAAATGTGTTGTCTTGTAAGTGTGAATTGCCGCGCGCGTTCCTCAGTTGAATTGCAAACTATTCCAGGCCTTAGTTTGCTTTTTCTTTCTGCATAATTTTTATTTCTGGTTATTTGCTATGTATTTTTAGTCAGATCTTTGCGTTGTTGGCAATAAGTGTTGCTTCTTCCTCTCACAGTGGAAATGTACCAAAAGCGAGTACTGTACCTAAACCTAATCCCTTCCATGAATTAATTTTTGTGTAGATTTAATTGACATATGCATAAATTACCTTTGGCATTTTTACAAGCGCAATTTTTTGAGTTTGCTGCATTTCCTTTTGCTTTTAAAAATTTCAGTTCGTTGTTGGGGTACTTGTAAAACCAGCAAATACAGTGGACTCTCTTTACGACGAAACTGAAGGGACCGAAAAATTTTCTGACCGGGTTTTTTTTAGAGTACCCCTATTACATGGGGAGTTAAACCTTTGGGACCACAAAAGAATTATTTTATAGAGAAAATCGTTGTAGACAAGACTGTTGCTGATGAGAGTGTCCAGCAGCATGTACGGCAGTGTAATCGATAAAATGTCTGTGTCTTGTCGATTGAAAGTGCTTCATCGTCTTAAAAGCAATCCAGCTTATACCAGCATCACTTTTGTGGGCACTGTATAACTAACAAAGACTAATCCACTTAGCAAATATTGGTCCCTCAAATTTTCCTGTTGCTAAAAATAAGCAATCTCTCTCTCTCACAAATTTTCTGTCTGATACTGTACATGATGTTTACCTGGCGTATATTTTGATCATGAGTAACGAACTCACGACTCGAATGAACTTTTCCTGCATGTATGGATATTGCAGATATTTTAAATTTGATCAGTTCCGAGTATTTCTGAAAGCATGGTATTGCGATTGTATTATGCCCCGCACAGCGGACCATGTCGGGCAGTGAAACTTCTAGCTGCGGAGCTCCAGCTCAACGTGGAAATCAAGCCCATCAATCTGAAGTCTCGGGAGCAGCTGAAAGACGACTTTCTGGCTGTGAGGAACTTTCACTTATTGTGAAGAAACATTTATAGATAATATCGTGTATGGAATTAAATAAACGGGTGTTGTAATACTGTATTTTATAGAGACAAAAAATACTGGAACTATATACTCGTATCTAAGCCGAAGCGGTCACTCCAGAGTATCTGTAATATGGGTGAAATGTTCTCCAAGTATCCAGTTTTAATGGAGGAAAGTGCCTCAATTGACTTCATTACCGTAATTCAGCTAGTCTTTGGTTAAAGATGCACAATTTTTCCCATCAGCGTTTCCATTTTTTACCCATCACAATAAGCTTGAATTTTTTCAAATGTTTCACATAATTTTGGCTTACTTTCAGTTGAATCCGATCCATACAGTCCCGACTTTGGACGACGACGGATTTGTGCTTTGGGACAGGTGAGAGGCCAAATTTGCTCTTGATATTCAAATACTGATTACACAACACGATTCTTGCTTTTCATAGCCATGCTATCATGCAATATCTGATGAACAAGTACAGGAAAGACAGCGAATTGTACCCCCAAGACCCCCAAAAGCGAGCTGTGATCGACAACCGCTTGTGCTTCAATCTGGGAACTTTGAATGCCACCATTCGTGCGTATTACGTGAGTCGTCGTTTTATTTCCTTTTAATGTACAGCGAGAAAAATAATTACGATTCTTTGTCTGATTCATCACGCTTTTGTTCAATTTACGAGCGGCATCATTTGAAAAATGGAAATATTTCATAACTGACAAGGTTACCTTGTCCAGCGTATTGTTGAGGGGAAACAAAATTTAGAATCTCACCTCTTCTACCTCAAATTACTTTGGAGGATTCATAGGTTCAATCAAAACGTTGCAATGGTGCCCTTTGGATTTACAAGTTCGTTCGTCATAATCATCAAAGCCACTATAAGGAGTCATGATTTTTTCAAATTTCTGATCCGACACGAGAAACGTCTTACGCATCATTTCAAGAAGATATTTGCATTAAAAATAGTTGACGAACTCTTGAGAAAGCAAGCAATTTGATTCAATTGAGTATGGTTGTCAGATCCGAAGGATACGCATTATGAATACTGTATTGTTAAGGTATCGTAATTTCAAGATATTCTAAACTATCTAAAGAATATCTTGAAACTAGGGAAGAGAAAATTGCGATAAGTATACGATATACGGTGTTTAAATCATTATATGCACTTATAGCACTTGGCATTAACTTTATTGTGACCTTGCCAAATTTATTTATCGCGAGCAAAGGCTGAAATATTGATTAGCAACTACTGTAGTCGAACATCATACGCAGTTCTTTACCTTCAAAACTTATACGCTCCTCCTGAAGCAATTAAAAATGAGGAAATAAGCTGGAAGCTGATAAAACGTGAAACAATAAACCCTCTTAAGTTTATTTCAATTTCTAACACGTTTTTCATGATTCATCCCACGGAATTCTTTTTTAGTGGTTTAATTTACTTTCATCAGTACCCAGTTCTACGTCTTGGAGCGACGCATTTCGTAGCTTCGCAAAGAGATAAAATTCAAGACGTTTTGGGTTGGCTGGATGGACTCATTGAAAAATCCGGTGGATGGACTGCAGGTCCTCACAAAACATTGGCGGATTACAGCATCATTGGAACCATGTCCAATGTTCCGGTGAGATTATTTGTTTTCTTATACTGTACAGTGAAATCTCATCACAACAAACTTGTGGGGACTCCAGAAAAAGTTTGTTGTAACAAGATGCTTGAAAATTTTGCTTGATTGGAAGATTTTCTAAAAATTAAGCCTGCTTAAATTTAACATTATCCTTTTTTGTAAACTTTTCAGCTGTTTTTTTACACTAATTTAAAGCCCCCTTCTTGTGTATTTTGTCATGTTGTTTTCTGAATGGAGAGTAAAATTTTTTCTCTTCTGCATAATAAGGCATTATCTTGTAACAAGAATCCCCTGGGACCTGAAAACAATTTCAATAACAAAATAATTGTTATGTTTAGAGTAAAATTGTGGCCATATTACATGTATTGTACGTTAAACTTTTTTCATGAACAAGAATTTGTTACTAAATACGCAGTAATTTGTGGAACACTCATTTAATAAGAAAAAGAATTTGACGTGAATACTGTATTTCGTTGAAAAAAAACTTGAGATCTGATTTTTTAGAAAAGATTTCTTATGTAATGATTTTACCAGTATTTTAATGCCTGCTCTTTTATGCCCTTATGTTTTTATGGTTAATTGCGCTCAGTGTACGTTTTTCCTCTGCGTTTTTTCAAGAAAATGCATGGGCCGCATAAGTTTGACTTGACAAAGTACAAAAACATTACGGAGTGGATGAACAAGTGCCAAGCAGAGATGAAAGACTACGACGAGATTATGGAGACTGGCGCCCAGCTGTGGTTCGACGACTTGTTTGCCGTCATTGCGGAAGGCAAAGAAATCAAGTGAAATTGAGTGTGAAACTGATTTCACTTTCCCAAAGCCCTGTGGAGGAACACCCGACAAATCTATGCATTGCTATATGTTTATTCCTTCGCTTTTCGCGAATTTTTCCGCAGGTCAATTGATAATAAACGAGAGTCCGGCAGCGAAAAAATCAATTATGATTCATTCTCTGCGTACGGTCAAGGTTGAAATGAATTGTTGCTTTTGTTGCCTGAAAGCAATCATAGTTGGATTATGCCTTTGTTGGGATTGCAAAAACGAAATGAGTTCGCACTTTCGTCGCCGATGCTAATGATTATGTTGTATGATGATTAAGGCCGTGACTTATTCTCTTCAAGGTTGTGCGAATGGCGCATTCACTACGTATTTTAATGACAGAGCTCTGCTGGACGTAAATTTTACTCAAGTTGATGGAAATTGGAAGAATACACGCCGAATATCTTCAATGAATGAATTTAAAAAGCTTTTTTTTGCCACATTGACTTTTCTGAAGGCTTGCATTTCAACGTTCAATCCAGTTCATTCAATTAGTTTTTGGGTTGATCGATTGATAGTGACTGAGAATATGCGAATTTAAAAACAAAAATCGGTGATGTTGAACACATCGGATGAAACGATAAAATAGACCAGCTTTCAGCCTGCATTATTCCAAGAATGATTTTTAGAATATTTTAAAATGTATCAAAATATTGAATCTCAATAAAGCATATTTTAAACCTCATGTCTGTGATCTTGATTATATTGTTATGGTGTGGTGAGATTGTGAGAATGCATGGCGCTTGCAAATTTATTTTTTCAATCCATGGAGGGGCTTCAATAAGTCATGTCCTAGGCTATAGTTTCCCAAGAATCCCAACTGAGAAATCATTGATTCAATTGTCTTAAAAAGTGCAACAAATCACGAAAGGTGTCATCTTCACGAAAGCAAATCAGCAGGGCAGACAACTTGGCAAAATGCAAAAACTCGTCAAATATTTGAACTGTAAAGATTAAAAACAAAGGACTGATTCTTTGAAAATGCTTTTCTGATTTTGATGAGATCAATAAGAAAATGCTCCTACTTTCAGTGTTCGACTTTTTTTGATTCAATTATTCTGCAAAATTATCCTTCTGTAATCTTTACGATTTAATTAAATCTCCGCAGTTTAATTAGGCCAATTAAATCTCCGCAGTTTTCGGCATGGCGCTCAAAAATTTATTGTTTCAAAGTTGATCCTTGGAGGGGTTTCAATAAGTCATGTCTTAGGCTATAATTTTCCAAAGGTTTTCAGATACAGCGAGATCTCAAGATGCGGACACAATTGGTGCATCAAGAGTGTCCCTAAGTCAAATTGTCCCTAAGTCAAGTCTTGTTCTCCCATAGACTTACATTATATAATTTTTAATTTGTGTTTTATGGGAGAAATATTCTTCAGAATTCCCTGAAAAAAATTGTTTGCCACTTGAATTTGAATCAGTGAATACATTTTCAACTCAATAAGAACATTTGGAGCATTGCATAGTGTATCTCTGTACTGTACATTGGAATGTTGGCATCTACAAAAATAACTTCAAGTTAGAAAAGTAAAAGTCCCTCTATGCTGGAGGTAATTTTTAAAAATTAGCTGAAGGGATGGTAAATTGGTGAGAGAAATACCCAAGAACTTTTCTTACATCAATTTCAGGGTTGGAAATATCTGTTTCTTGTAATTTGGCCTGAAATGTATTTGCAATTTTATCACAAAATGTCTCTATGTTGAGTCGATGTCCTCATGTTGGGCGTTTTTTATTAATTTTCTCTGGGAAAATAAGTGTCCCTATGTCAAATTTTCCGCAGGTCAAGGTGTCCACATGTGGGGGTCTGACTGTATGTTGTTCAGTATAATCTGTGCAATAATCAAACTCATTTTTATGAGTTCAAAAGCACAAAATAAAAAAAGGATGTAGCCGCCTCAATAAAATTAAAATGGTTTTCAGGTTTGAAATTACTGTACCACAGGAAGACGCGTTACCAGCATAAAATTAATGTCAATTAAACCTGCAAACATTCAAAGTTCATCGTCATGCTTCGAATCTACTATAGCACTGCTGCTGCTGCTGCTGACGGAGCAGAAGCGTGGCTCTTCCTTTCCATTGTCTGAAAACTGAGGTTACTTTAATGACTCGGCAGGTTTCATTCTCTTACTCACCTTCTTTATTCAGAAACGTGTCGTGCACACGATGATGCCGATATAGTGAGTTCAATCGCAATTTCCCCCGCATGCAAAAATCAGCTAGGCTTGGCCGGTAGAATCTCCGCAGTTTTTTTATCATTTTTTATTCCTGAGTACTGAATTTCTCATCCGATTGGTCGGCAGAAGGAAAAGAAATGAAGCTTACAAGACACAGATTCCATCGAGGAGCTTTATCTTCTACCGTGCGGCGTGTGGGAAAGATACTGTACATACGCGAACTCGCACATGATGTGCGATGCGGTGAATAAGGAACGCCACGTGGAACTGCGCAGTTTCAGGCTTTTCCTTTGATAACCCTCACGAGGGTGACGGGGTGCATGAACTCTTCTTTGACTCACCATCAGCGTGACTTCGCGCAGCCTTGATGGGGGAATCCTCTCTGGAGCGGAAGTATTTGAGGGGTTCCCCCATAGGCGAGCTCCGGTCAGTTGAAAAGCGAGGACTCGGGAGGTGGACGTGGTGCGCGAGGAACAGAAAACGAATCATTCGCCCGTTTCTATTGTTGAAAGACTCCGCTGTTGACTGCCTGAAAAACGTTTCCCTTCCACTCTGAACATCCTGTAACTTCTTTTTTGTTGTTGTTGGAAACAATCTCGTCACTGTTTTCGAAAAGTATTACAGTATTATTCACTGGAGTGTACTTTGCGCACATTTGTTTTCCCAAAATTGAGAGGGAAAAAAAGGGTTTGACCCGTCATTGGCTAGTGTACATTTTTCAAACAGTTTTAGAGGTTTAGGTGTTCATTATACTCAATTCTAATGAGAAATTTAGATCAATTTAATAAAAATCATTTTTGGGTAAATCAATTAAAACTTTGTTGAATTCAGGTTCAATTCATGTCTAAATTCAAATTTGGGTGTTCTTATTTTCAAAATATTGCAGTTTTAAATTCACTAAAAATGTGGTGTGCATCTTACTTGAGGACGCGTGGTACTCAAATGAATATGGTTTTTAATAAGGTGGCAAGGTAGGGCCACAGCAGGAAAAAGAGTACAGTACTGTATTTAAATTTTGGAATATTTTTCTTCATAAAGAAGATTGCTTCCTGGTTCCAATGGCCTTGTTGTACCTGATTTTACCCATGTCTTTCACAAAATGACAAATAGGGTTGAACCTGAAGGGAGTCAAGAAAATTCAAATGAGGCAATTTTTGAGTGAGGGAATATACCGTGATTGGCATAGGTCATGCTTCTCTTGCATATTTAGTGAAGGAGTTCTACATTCTCAGATGTCCAAAATGCAGGAAGAGGCCAAATCTCTTGTGTGGAAAGCAGTAGAATAAAATGTGTACTGTATATTCTGTATCAGTGTTATAAAACAGTTTTCATGAACCCATGGTCTGATTTTTTCAAAAAGCAGAAACGTTTCAAATATGTGCCATAAAGTAGTTGAGGCAAAAAAAAATTTGAGTGAGCCAAGATTGTTAAAACTTTGCCAGCCTGCAGAAATTTGTTTGCAAATTTGCCAGTCTGTGGGCCAAAAAGGTTGGGGAAAACGGTCTTAAAGGGATTTTAATTCTAAGAGAATTTCAAGTGTTTTTTTTTATTTTCATGAATTATGATTGGTTTGTGTATACGTGAGAATGCAAACGAGTGAGACATCATATGATTGGTTTGTGTATGTGTACGTGAGAATGCAAAAAAAAAGTGAGACATCAGAAAATGTTTGATTTAAAAATCTGATTATAGAGGAAAATTTCATAATTTTCAAAGATTAAATATCACAGAAAAGAGCTTAGTCTATTTCTAAGTAGAAGCTTTTATTTAGATTGGTTTCTTTATTACAGGTGCATTCTCTCTATACAGCTAGTACAACAAAATTCAAGGGACCAAAAAAATCCTTGTAATGAGATTTTTGTGGTAGAGAGCCCCTATATGACATAGTGACCAAGAGAACCAAGCAGGACCCCAGTATAATTAATTCACAGAGAAAAGCATTATAGACTAGATCATTGTAGAGAAGTCTACTGGTAATGCTAGATCATATTACGTTACCTGGTCTTTTTGAAACGTGGTACAGTATACTGTATATGACGAAAAACTCGAACTGTGTACGGTACTTGGAAAGGCAAGGAAAAGCGAAAATCGGCGATTTCACAAGCTCAAGTGCAGATTCAACGCGGAAGGAGCAGTTGTTTTGAGTTTGCGCGGTCGAGTGCGAGAAATTTTGAGAGCACTATCCATTTTTTCTTATACATTTTTAATATCCAAAATAAAATTGTTGATTTCCGGTGATGTTTACAGGACTTATAAGAATACATCAACAATCATCATGGGAATCACGTTGTATTACATGTCTCCGAGTCCACCTAGCAGAGCAGTAGATTTTCTCATCAAAGAGCTGGAATTGGACGCTGAATTGAAGCAAGTCAATCTGTTGGAAAAAGATCAATTGAAACCGGAGTTCTTGGCTGTGAGAATACAATGATCATATTCGATCATTTTCAATTGCAAAGATTTGAAATGTCTTTGAATTATTCTTTTACAGCTGAACCCGACTCACACGATTCCGACCTTGGATGACAACGGATTTGTTGTTTGGGACAGGTAAATTCATCACGAAGTGATACTTTTTCTGCATGAGAAGAACAATTTCGAAATTATTTCCTTTATATCTTATTGTGAATTTTATTTATGGTAGAGGTACAGTATATTGACTAATTTCAAAGAAACCGAGCAGAATTTCCTCAGTTCATCAATTTTATCATCGCAGCGAGTGTCTCATCTTCCCTCTTTCAAATTTATGTCCAGACTACACCAGGAGTTTCTTGAATGCCAATTTTTTTTATGATTGTAGTCACGCCATTCTGCAATATTTGGCATCGAAATACGGAAAAGACAGCACTTTGTACCCGAAGGATCCTGAGAATCAGGCCACCGTGAACAACAGATTGTTTTTCAATGCGACAACTTTTTTCCCGAGAATGCGAGATTACGCTGTAAGTGATACATTAAAAAAAATCCTAATCCTTCTAATGAGTTTAATAACGTCACCGTATTTTCCAC